AAATGAGCCAAAGGATGACACAGAGGTTATTAATAATAATAAAAACAGTCTGACTCACCCAGACAGATTTCTATTCATATAACGCTGCTCAGACTCTGAGTTTTGCAAACAAAACTGCGTGACTGACGATTGTTTTGTGGATACTGAAACAATGCAAGGTTCAAAATCACCCCTGCCAAAAGGCAAAATACTGGGTTTGGAGGCTGAATAAACTTTGATCAACAGCTATTTGTATAGTGAAATAGCTAAAATCACAGCACTGTGTTTTAATCTACACCAGCTGAGATAAAACTAAGATCACCTTATCAAACCAAAGCAGCTGATTTCTTCTTGGCATGCTCGTCTCAAAGTTTATCTTAGTTCAGCTGCTCCTGGATGTGTTTTTCTTTATTTTTTTTATTTAACACAAAATGCCGTAAAACTAATCTCATGACCACATTTTTAAAAGAGATAATAAGGAAAAACTGAAGCGTTAAACATGAAAGATGCCCATTTTTAGCTTAATAAACGTGTTTTTGGATGGAAATGAACGTTCTTTGTGCCTAGTTTTCATGTTTTTTTGATAGTTATGCACAAAATAAGATTTCATTTCGATTTTTTTCCACTTATTTCACTGCAAAACATTAGATTTTTTATTTTATTTTTACTTTTCCTAATCTGACACTTGTGATAAAAAGGAGGAAAGCAGCCCCAGTTTTTAATGTTTGTAGCATTAAACTAAATGGGTACAGTCTTCAAGCGTATCCTTAAAAAACCTTTTATAATTACTTCTAAAACAGCACTGCTCAACTATAATGCCAGCCCAATCTTTATGTCATTTTCAATCAGATCAATTTGGATCATTCCCATTAGACTTTTATGGGACTGTTCCATTCCCAACCTATGATCTACAAAAAATATGCCAGTGCTTTCATCTGAGTCCCATTTCCCAGTCATTATTTCCACTTCCAGGTTGCTCAGCTTATGAATTAAATATTCCTTTCAGCAGTGGTTGAGAGTCCAGCATCATTACCAGAACCATTTCCTGTTGTTGACAACACACCATCCATGCACCCTCCCCCAACCCTGCTCTGAAACATTCACTCCCTGCTCCATCAGCCCATGGGAGGTGATAGGGAGAACAGACTATAAAAAGGGGGAGACAGATGGGTGACAAAAAAAAAAAGAGAGACGGGTTCGATTGAACTCCTGAGTCAAAAATCCATCATGAAGAGGACTAAAACCTTGAGCCACGGTGGCCAACAGGGTTCTGCTCCGAGACAAAGACCAGCTCGGTTTAGCCCGGCTAAAGGCAGACTAGTGATCCGCCAAACTAAACATCCAGAACAAAACACGAACTGTCAAGAGCAAAAATAAATAAATAAAAATGGTGGACAGATGTCGCTTTGAAACCTGTTCATGTTTGAATCCTGTTCTGTTTACTTGACCTAGTTTGGGCCCGCACGCTCGCTATAGAAGCTAAACTTTGGCTTTGATTATAAACTGATGGGGGGACACTCACCCTGCCTGCCCACGATCTCTGCGACGTGCTCGGAGCTCGGCACCGCCACGCACTCGGTCGTGTTGACACTCTTTCGCCGGCTCAGGAGCGAAGGCTCGGCCTCGTAACCCGGTAGCTCCCCGTACACGCCGGGTGGTAGCATCACCACGCTAGCCGGGGGTAAGACGCCGCCATCGTCCCGCTCCTCCCCGCCGTACAGCAACACCGTCTCGGCATCCATTCCGGACGGCATCATGGTGCTGTTCGGCCCGGGCGGGAGGCGCTGATGATGGCGGTGGGCCTTCGAAGAGTCGTCCGCTTCGAGCTCTTCGTCGTCCGTCGTCTTGCTCGCCTCATCTCCCGACGGCCGCCGATTCAGCGGCAAAGGCTTCAAGTCGAGGACCGTATCGAGGAAGCTGAATTGAGAAACCGAGGGTAGCTGATGGTGGTGGGGGAAAGAAATACTTTCAACTTCTTGTTCGGGGGTCTGGTTTTGAGTGCCGTGGTGCTCCTCGAGGCCCATACCGGCGAAAGCGTGTACTAGCGGCGGTGGGACCTCGGACTCTCCCTCATCGGCCTCCAGCAAAGACGTGCTACTGGGCATCATGCAGAACGTACACACTATGGTAGCTAAACTGAAATAGATATGATTAACGAAATAAATTGTTTTTTGGTAACAAAAATAAAAAAAGCGACCAGCGCCTGTTCATTGAAATGTGTGGCTTTTGTTTTGTCTCTTCAGCTTTCCATTCAGCCCTCCCTATACTGTAATCTCGTTCAAGTTCTCGCGAGAATTCATTTTAAGGTCAGTATGGTCAGTAGATAAAGGGAGAAAGGAAGATGAGTGATGAGTACATCATTTATGGACAAATTATAGAACAAAGGGGCAAAAATATACGGGACTGTGCCCCATATCCATAAATGTAAATGTGAAAACAGCAAAAAATAAAACTCGTGAAGAGAAAACATTGAAGTGAACGTGGCCTAAGAATTATGGAGTGCCAATAGTAAGAGAAACAAATTTGTGAAAGATGATCATAGCACGGCTGTGGCTGAGTGGTTAGAGCAGTCGTCCTCCAATACGAGAGTTGGGGGTTCGAATCCACCAGCAGTCCCTGGGCAAGATACTGAACTCCTCATAGCCTCTGATGTGTGTCCCATCATTGTATGAATGTGATCTAAAAGCACTGATTAGTCTCATTAGAATGATTTGTTCAATTAGCTTTGTAGAGATCTAGTAGAGTGCTGTATGAATGGGTAAATGAGGACACAGATTGTAGTGTAAAGTGCTTTGAGTATCTTGAAATAAGATAGAAAGGTGCTATATAAGTACAGTCCATTCACAATTCATATGAGTAAATCATAAATGAATGGGGCTTAAAAACCTTTTCAAGCTGAGAAAAATGCAGTCTGAGTGACACAAATCACTAAAAGGTAAAACATATGTCAGAGTCAATAATAACAATGTTATGGTCAACATTTGCAATATTTTGGTGACAAGTATGCACAAATTGAATCTGTAGGGTTAGTTGTTTCATATTTCTCTGGGCTTGGGTGTTTTGAGTTTATTTTGAATAAATAGGTCTTATTTTGTGCTTGTGCACAGGTTAGTTTTATGGTTCAGTCTATGTGCTTTGATGCCATGGATTAATACAATAATGAGGGAAATTTGTCTAAACTCGATGCTGGGTTGAAGGAAAGCATATACAGCTAAAAACAAAGCTGTTTTTTTTAAACAAGCCTCCAGCATTGTACATTGTTCAAATTGTATTGTGAAAACACAGATTCATCCCAGAGAAAGGAATTGTGTCCTATACCTGAAAAAAAAACAGCGCAATGGGGCAAACTGTTTTTAATTTTGTTACAAATATTACATTTCAATCTAAAGTTCATGAAATAGAAATAAATAAAGCCTCTTCCGTATTACCTACAACAGCCACGTTGGAGTGTGTTTCAAAAAGGAAGATGTTTTCCTCTGGGCGTGGTCACGTGGGTTCACGACGCCTGTCTTCTTTTATTGACCAATAGGAAAAATGTAAAGGCGGGGCTTCTTGCAGATACTAGCCAATGGAAAGGCACGTTTGTGATACGTTTCTTAGCATTAGTAGCATCCGGGTGAGGAACTTAGGGTGAGTCGGTAATTCGCACTGAGAACTAAATTTTAATGAATTACAATTTGACAGTTTTTGAGTTAAGTTTAATTCTACTGATCACATACGCGCAAAAATAGTACAAGTGTATTAACTATATAAAAAGGTTACAAACCTTAAGCTACTTTCTGTGCTTAAAACGCAAAGCTAGTAGCTAGCTAGTTAGCTTTAAGCTAACAACTTGTCGCAGATACCAGGTTTATTTCTCTCTCTTCTCGGTCACAGTTTTTGTGTTCTTCTTAGTATTGAGCTTGACTGTATGCTTATTAATGTTTATCGTTATAGGTTTAACGTTGAAGCTGTTGCTTGCCAGTCTTGAGGATGTTCGGATCACTTCGGGTGCTGTTGCAAGTGTTGTGGGCCCAGCTGCTATTTTGCTGGGTGTTCGGCTCCGAGCTGACGTTTGAGCTGCCAGACAACGCTAAACAGTGTTTCTACGAGGACATCATCATTGGCACTAAGTGTACATTGGAGTTTCAGGTACTTGTGCCGTAAAATCTAAACAGCCCATGCCTTTTAACAGTATGTTTAGGCTTTTAACCTTCAGGGATCAATAGTGTTGGACAAAAGGCGTTAAATTTGGATGCAACACATTTACTACAAGAACCTTTTAATTAACACAACCTACAATATGTAGGCATACATATGTTTAACATATATTTAATTTAAGAAGAACAAAACAGAAATATATTAAGCAGTCAGCAGTTCACTATTTTGTGTTCTTGGCATTTCATACATGCCACATTACATAAAAAAAATAGATCTGCCTGTTAATGAAATTGTCAAAGAACTTATGTTAAGAAATTATGCAAATGAGATATCAGTTCTGCTTGTTTGAGCTTCCTTACACTTGAGGCTTAAGTCAGATCACTGGCAAAACAATTCCTTTTAGTTTTTATAAAACCCATGTTTAAAAATAAAGGAGATGGAGCCTGTAAGATAGTATCGATGGACTGTGACTAGTTGGTAAACAGCATTCCTGAGAGAATCTCTGGGGTGTCTTGCAATGTTTGCGGAGGTTCTCAATTCACCACAATCTGCTATTTACATGAGTAACAGGGGCTTACAGCAGTGTAGCTTGACAGTTGTCAAGGATGTCCTGAACCCTTCTAGATTTTGTTGCGAGCATCTTTAACTGGTCTCAAGAATTGTATTTTAACACCGTCACGTTCATATAAATAAAAAAACTGATGATAAATAATTATTATTGGAAAAAAATTCAAAATTTTGCCTGTTCTTATATCAGAACTGTTCTTCACTAGAATAAATCATAAACATTGAGGCGACTATCGAGTTGGGTATGATATGGGCTATTAAAATGTTCATGGCCTACAGTACTATTTTGCGAGTGTGCATACAAAAATAGGTTGTGATTTTCAACAATTGGCCACGTAAAATGTGGCTGCAGGGGTCACTTGGTTGCAAACAGTCAGAATTCAGTCACTCTACAACAGAAAATCTTTCATATTTTCTTGCAATATTTAGTCTCCAACAGTCTCAGTGTAGTGAGATACTACCTTTTATTGTGGTGGCCCTTAATCAGTGTCTGTCTGCCTTTGCAAATTGGAACTGTTCTGATTGTTATACATTTTTTATTTTAGTCCTAGTTAAACATGTCTTGGATTTTATTCTGCATGCTTATAATAGTTTTAATATATATAGATTAGTTTTATTGAATGTTTTTATTGTAGGTCATATGTATTGATGTTTTGTTAATAATTTGTATATACATTTTTATGATATTTTGGTCAAAATCTAATGTGAACATAAACTTGGACTCATTTTTGTGTTCTCAGGTGGTAACTGGTGGCCACTATGATGTGGACTGTCGTTTGGAGGATCCAGACGGCACAACACTCTACAAGGAGATGAAAAAGCAGTATGACAGTTTTACCTTCACAGCAGCCAAGAACGGGACGTACAAGTTCTGCTTCAGCAACGAGTTCTCCACCTTCACACACAAGACGGTCTACTTTGATTTCCAGGTTGGCGATGATCCTCCCCTTTTCCCCAACGAGAACAGAGTCACCGCTCTTACTCAGGTGAGATTTTTGTCCCTTTGTGTTTGTGAAGAAGTGAAGAGATTGTAATACTCCCAGATGATACAGACAAATTCATATCACAAATTTCAAGACAGTAAATTTGCACGAATAAACCTTGTGATTTCATATTCCTGGCCAGAGATGATTATACAACAGTACAGTGAAGAGTTTTGTTTGTATTATCATAAAGAGATTGTAGACTGGTTCGCTTGGAAATAACTTTTGGCCACAGAATAAATTTAAAAGAATTAATTTATATCAGCCAAACCTTCATAAGTCCTTTTTACAAGCATGACAAAGATATTAAAATAAGGTGTCATTTCCGTACAAAGCATTATAAAATGCTAAATAAATTTGTGCATAAAAATCCACACACAATGCCAGGTTTTGTTTTTTCCCCACCAAGGACGTTTTCCATCTTGTTACTCCAGCCTATACATGAATAATGTTTTTTCACTACTGAACTTTTTTTCAGCACTTCACATTTTTTATTTGTCTCATTATAATAGAGGATGCAACTTTATTTTAGTCTTCACTAATGGAATTGACTGACATTAATTTTGTTACAACTAAAATGTGCCTCAAACAGTTTTGTCGAATTGGACATAATGGTAATTTGAATAGGTAAACAGCGGAAACTGGTTATTAAACAAACGGATATTGTGTTAAATTACTGTGAGCCGTTTACCATTACTGAATTTGGACAGACTGGAGAGCAAAAATTAATCCAGAATGTTGTACAGATCTAGTTTTATTGTTTTTGGAAATTCACAAACTGGACGAGTGATTGTGAATAAAAATAAATTATTTTTTTAAGCATTTCAGTTTCATTCAAAGCTTTTATTTGTTCATCCTTTACAGATGGAATCAGCCTGTGTCTCTATCCACGAGGCTCTAAAATCCGTCATCGATTACCAGACACACTTCCGCCTCCGTGAGGCCCAGGGACGCAGTCGGGCCGAGGATCTCAACACCCGTGTTGCATTCTGGTCTATTGGAGAAGCCATAATCCTGCTGGTGGTCAGCATCAGCCAGGTGGTCCTGCTAAGAAGCTTCTTCTCTGACAAGAAAACCACTATGACACGTGTGGGATCATAACAGCCTTTGAATTTCAGGATCTGATTTTTTATTTTTTGTCTGTCTACCTGGCCTCAAGTGCATAGATTAGATCAGAACAGCAGTGCTCATTTTGAAATTGGATCATATCAAACTGCTTGTTCATTCAATTTGACAATTCCTGACCATTTAGCACTGCAGTTCTGTAAAACCTCATGCTAAATACTGTTGAGAGGAAATGTTTAAAATGTGACAGAAGGGTAAAACAAAATGAAAGGTAGGCTTGATGGTTACTTTGTGTATGTGAGACAGTTCACACTGGTCCTGTAGTTAAAAAAAAAACTTAAGTTCTAAATGTGTTTTTCTTTCTTTTTTTTTTTTGTGGCACTGCTCATTATATCCTCCAGTCAGCTCCATTTTTCAGCCCAAACTGCAATTTTTTATAAAGTGGTATTTGGGACTAAATGAACTCGGGACTGTTAAGATGCTGTTGATCTTTCTCCTTACATGCAGCTCACTGCATCTCAGTGCAAATGGTACTTCAAAACAATGATTCATTTGATTTAAAAAAATAAAAACATAGGTATATATTTCTTTTTATTTTTATTTTAATAGAAAAAAAACTTCCAAGAAGTCAATTCCCTCTACTTTGAAATACAGGAAATCTTAGTTTAAAAATCATTGTTTTCAATAAAAACAAGTTTGCTCTAGTCAGGTTTTTTTTTTTTTTTCATTTTGAAAGGTTTATTAGATTTGAATAAGCTATACAGAATAAAACATCCTTTACTAGTTGACATCAAATTACAAACGATGGTTTGAACAATTGTCTCCCCGAGTGACTCAAAATCTTAAGAACACAAGAATAATAAAGTCAGTTGTTGCATTGGTGTAAAGAATCAATTTAATTCAAATGTAGTGATATGAATTAAAAGCTAACTTTCATTTAGGGGTGGTTTTGAGTAAAAGTGAGAGGGACAAGAAATCTTTTTTTTTTACCATTACGTTTTGTGTTTAGAATTGGTAATGCCAACAGTTTTAAATGCTTCATTATCTACCATTATCATTCTTATTCACTTGTTTTGGCTTTGCTGTTTTAAAATGTAACATCGTATTTATCTCATGGGTTGATGGCGCGCTTTTGGTTTTGTTCATCACTATTGTAAATGTGTTTACTGAAAAGTATTGTTTCAATATATGGAAAAAATCACTACCTTTTGGGATAAAATTGTAATTTGTTGTAATTTGCCAAGTTGATTGGATTGTTTAAATAAATGGGAGGTTTTGGACATTTTCATTTTTAAATTTTTTTTTTTTTTTTTAATCTGATTCCTACTCAGGAAAGCAAAGTTATTTTCTGCAGATTTGTAAACGTAACTCATGCATCATTTTTACAGATTTTGCTGTACTCATCAGACAATGAGATCAGCTGCAAAAAACGTACTGTATTTTAAATATTACATTGTTTTGCATTTGTTTATTGGAAGTTAAAAAAAAACCACTTGTTTTATTTTATATCAGTGAGAACTATCCATAACAGGTTCAAGAGACTGATAAACTGCTATTTTACCATACATTTGTGTTTTAGCCCTGCTTCATTTGACCTGTCTCCATTCAAATGTTCGCTATCAGGTCTGGTATGTGTTGCGATGGTTCCCATAACTATGTAAACTAATAGGTCATTTGTGGACATCTCTGAGGCATTGTTGGATTTTAAATTATTGGTATGCTTGAATAAATTCATGATCAAATATTAAGGTATGCATTAATTTTAATAGTTACTAAAAAGTGGTCATTAGAAACTTTTTTTTCTAGATGTCATGTCCCTTTTTGTCCTCTAGGGGGCAGTGTAATCAAAGCTGTTGGAGCATATTTGCAGTCAGGCAAATTAAAAACTTGTTTTATTTAAGTTAACTCGTTTATTCCCCTTATTTATATTTCAAGAAATTCAAGTATCGTTACGATGAGTACCTGGTATTTTTAATACTAAATAAAATCTTAACAGGTATAACACATTAAGAGTTTATACAAACAGACACTTCTGATCATGTGACTGGTTAATGACTAGTACACTCCAGGATTAACTAAACCAGGTTTTGAGCCTGGTCTAAAGTAGACTTAAATCCAGGAAATAGATCTGTAAAATGTTTTGTTATTGCTTTTCTAAAACCAAATCGATTAAGGCCATCAGATTGATTTATTCAACTTTGAAAAAAATAAACATTCATTGTCACTTCCTAAAAAAAAAAAGGTCTCCAACCAAAACTAAGAAATTATCTAACGATAAACATTTCTTAACAAAATATTAATTTATCAAAAAATGTCATTTATATAAAAGCATATATATTTATTTTGCACCTATCCGTGCGTATTCAACCTGTTTACGTCTCCAAGGTGGGCGTGACAATGAGTGACTGACAGTGATTGACAGACTGGGTCAACCCAACCCGTGACACGGAGGTGAGTAAGATTTGGGTTTATTTTTAATTCAGAATAATAACATTAAACAGCCTATAAGTTTTTAAATTAGGATTACGGTCCAAAAATGTTACCATATAACTATTTTAGAGCATTTATGCATAAATGCTATTTTTAATAAAACCTTGGAAAACGTTTAAAGTACCATCAGGTGTTCGCGTACCCCTCCCCAGGGCTCTGCCCCTCCCTATTGAATGAACCACCGGGTCAGAGCGTGTGAAAAAGCCCAGCATCTTCACTCTGCTACGTCATAGGCTATCTGCTCTGTGATTGGACAGCGACACGTCAATCATTCACCCTGAGGAAAGAAAAGACTGCGTCGAGCTTGCAATTTGACAGAAACTGAGTCGTGATCATTCAGTGGAACCGTGGGTGGTTAGCAGTTATTTACCATCTCCCTCTCCGAGATTATTGTGTCAGTTTGCTGAGTGGCAACACACACGACTATTTTTGTGAGCGTGAACAGCTCCTGGATTTTGCCTGTCGACTTGCGCGCGAGAAAAAAACAACACGGCAAAGACACTGGGGGGTGTCCCCCAGTCTCTACGTCGCTTCTACGGGCTAAGCTAACACTCACGGGTGGGGGTGGATTTCTTCATCTCGGCCCCTCCTAAAGGGGAATATAAATACCGTGAAATGCTGTGAAACTATGACAAGCGAAGGAAACAGATCTGAAGACGGAGAGGAAACGTCAGCGGAAGAGTCTCGGCTGAAGGATCAATAAAAAGGTGAAAGAGTATTTAGTTCAGCGCAGCTAGCTGGCTAGCTAAACGAATCGAGGAAGTACACTAGCCGCCTCGCTAACTCTTCGTCAAATGCATCGCTGGATCAAGGCTCGTTTAAAACGTCTGAGCTAATAATAGGGGAGAAAATTCACATAACCGTCTGGTGATGCCAAAATTTTAAAGCTGATCCGGAGGAAGGCTCGTCCTGTTTCATAACAGGAGCCCAGCTAACTGTTAGCAAGAGTCGGAGGTTGTAAACAAAGGGTTCCCACCGACACGGTCCACCTCTACTGGTCCCCGTGTCATTGTTCCGCGCTCTCCTTTGTGTTTCAACACCCGGACTCGCTGTCAGAAATGGATTTAAAGACGGCAGTGTTTAACGCAGCCAGGGACGGAAAGCTCCGCTTGCTCCAGAAGCTTTTGGAGAACAAAGATGGACACGAAGTGGTCAAGTTGATGGGCGAGAAGACGAACGGGGCCACGCCGCTCCTGATGGCCGCTCGCTACGGCCACCTGGACCTGGTGGAGTACCTGCTGGAGTGCTGCAGCGCTCCGGTCGAGGCCGGCGGCTCTGTCAACTTTGACGGGGAGACAATAGAGGGGGCTCCCCCTCTCTGGGCCGCCTCGGCGGCGGGACACCTGAAGGTGGTCCAGTCCCTCCTGGGTCACGGAGCCTCTGTGAACAGCACGACCCTCACCAACTCGACGCCCCTGAGGGCAGCCTGCTTCGATGGACACCTGGACATTGTTAGGTACCTGGTGGAGCACAAGGCTGACCTGGAGGTCTCTAACAGACACGGACATACGTGTCTGATGATTTCCTGCTACAAGGGCCACAAAGAGATAGCGCAGTATCTGCTGGAGAAAGGCGCAGATGTAAACAGGAAAAGTGTAAAAGGTAAGTTCGCAAGAACTGAGCAACATTCGTGTTTTTAATCCATTAATTCAGGTTGAACTCCGTATTTTAAATGTCTAAATAGAAACTCGACTTACTGGAAACTGCAACGTCATATGACTCAACATATAAACATGAACTTCTGGTTTCACTGTGGAAAAGCTGCAGTCTGATTTACGTAAACCCTGTGTCTGTTTGGGTGTGTCTTAAAGATAATTTTATTTATTTCCTTAGATGGGGCTATAGAAACTGCAACCAGTGTTGCACATTGGTGTTGAGCTAGTGGCCACTTTACATGTATAAGGACTTTAAAACAAAGCACTCCATGTCCTCAGACTATGTTTGGGTCATTTATTTATTCCTTGTGGTAATGCTCATGCATTTTAGTGACAAACCTGCAAGCTGGCACATGTGTGATTATGTTGGCATAGCTCAGTTCCCACCTCCCACGCCTCACTGGGTGAAAACTGTATTCTTGTAGCTTACCTTTAGCTTGCCTGGTGCACTCGCCATCTGTTTTGGTACTGTATGATGCCAAATGAATGGATTTGTAGACTTTTTTTTTTTTAGCAAGAGGTGCTCATTAAGCAATACATTTTCAAGCATAGTGTTAAAGTAACATCACCTACACCAAAACAGGTTAATAATGGTGTGTTGGACAAAGATGATTAAAGAGCGTAATATTAATTGTGACAGATTAAATTTTTTTTACACTTGTTTTAAAGAATTTGGCAGCACATTTAAGGGGGAAAAACTACATATTACATAGTAATTAGTGTGTTTATATTTGGTCTGTACATGCATCAATGTTAAATCATCCTAACTAAACATATGTTGTCCTTCCTTAAAGTAACTTTCAAACGTTTATTTTCATGAGTTGGCTTGGATCAAACATTGACATGGTGTAATTTAGTCAGGGTATGCCGTCCATCTATTTTCTTTGCCCACTTCCTATGTGGGTGGCAGGGGTCACTGGTGTCCATGTTCAGCAGTCACTGTGAAAGGCAGAGAATAGCCTGGACAGGTCGCAAGTGCATCACAAGGACCATTAAGAGTACAAGTCATGGACAAAAATGTCCACTAAACCCATTTATTTTTGTCTGCTTATGCTAACCGTCCTTATTGTAGACTGAAAGAAAGCAAATGGGTCGAGAGAGAAAATAAGTGCTACAAGTCAAATTTGTGAAGATTTCATTTTAATTTAAAATGATTGTTTCCATGACTAATACATCAAAGCAATTCCCATTAAACTGGTAGAAAACCCCATTGTATTGTTTTGTGTGTACGTATCAAGCTGGGGACGTTTTATTGATTTGCAAGTAAGAATAGCGTCCAAAAGGTCAGATTGAAGAGAGATCTAGAATGATTTTCAGGATAGTGTTAAGTGGCCTAATAAATAACAAGACAATCTTCTGAACTGTCATGAACTGTAAATAGACTAAAAAAAATTTTTATATAAAAGCAGACTATCACTTTAAAGCTTGCAATAAAACTTGATTCTAACAAGGTTAAGTCAAGTCCTCTGGACAGATTGTTCTTGTTGAAACGTTTAATCTTTTATCCAAAAGAAAGTCTTCAGTCGTCTTTGATTTTATATAAAATAAACATCAAGCTGTACTCATTTTGTAAGGATTGTTGTTTCTTCACAGGCAACACTGCACTCCATGATTGTGCAGAGTCAGGCAGTCTGGAGATCATGCGGATGTTGCTGCAGTACGGAGCAACCATGGAGCAGGATGGTTACAGCATGACTCCCCTCCTCTCTGCTAGTGTTACAGGCCACACTAACATTGTAGACTACCTGACGACAAACCCACAGGTCAGACATTTGCTGTGGTGAGCTTGTCCACATAAATATGAGAAAGCGTATGGTGTTTTGATTTAGTTGGTTATTGAAAGATGGCCCTTTTGGTTTTGCAGACAAGCCACACTGAGCGTATTGATGCGCTGGAGCTACTGGGAGCTACGTTTGTAGACAAGAAGAGAGATCTGCTTGGAGCTTTAAAATACTGGAAGAGAGCCATGGACCTCCGATACCTGGACAGTAACAACATTGTCCAGAAACCAGAACCCAAGCAGCTGATCATGGCATATGACTATGCCAGGGAGGTGAGTTGATCTTTTCACCTTGCACCACCATCTTGTAATGCATTTATTGCTATACATATTATTAACCTTTATTTAACCAGGCAAATCCCAATGAGATCGCAGATCTCTTTTGCAAGAGAGGCCTGGGTCTGAATATTTTAGTAGAGATAGTTCACACTTTTGAAAGATGCCTCCCATTTAGTACATTTGCTACAAATAATTGTTTGGTGGTTTGCTAGAGCCATAAAACAGAACAAAATAGGTGCAATACTATGGCCATTTAGCTAAAAGTTTTGAAGACCTATTTTAACTTTTCTAACCTTCTCTCAGGTAACAAATGGAGAGGAGCTCGACGGGCTGATATCTGACCCAGATGAGATGCGAATGCAGGCTCTACTCATCCGTGAGAGAATCCTTGGGCCACAACACCCAGACACATCCTACTACATCCGTTACCGTGGTGCTGTGTATGCTGACTCTGGCAACTTTGAACGGTGCATTAACCTGTGGAAATACGCGCTAGAAATGCAGCAGATCAACCTGGAACCCCTCAGCCCCATGACAACCTCCAGCCTTCTGTCGTTTGCTGAGCTTTTCTCCTTCATGCTACAGGACAGAGCCAAAGGGCTCCTGGGGACATCTGTGTCCTTTGAAGACTTGATGGGGATATTGTCTAAGAGCGTGCTGGAGACTGAGCGAGCTGTTAAACACAGTGGTCCAATGTCTCCTGACCCGGCTCAGCTCAGCAAGGCTCTCTCAATAATCTTGCACCTCATATGTCTTTTGGAGAAGGTGTCGTGTACCTCAGAGCAGGATCATTTCAAGAAGGAGACGATCTACAGGTGTGTCTTTTTGTTTTGAGTTTTAATTATTGAAGCAAAGTGGATTAATGTGACCAAAAGATTTTTATTTATTTTTTCACCTCTGCCAATGGCTTTTGAATTTGGTTCAATCAGTTGTTTACACCAGAAAGATAACGATTCAAACATGACATTCTGAATTTCAAATGAAACATTGTTTCATGGTTGGGAGAAAAAAAAAAGAACTTGGTTTATTTATATAATGCCAACTTATTCCTCTCATCCCCTGGGAATTGGTCAAAAGAAAAGTCCACGTCAGAGTCAAATATAACCTTCAATTAAATCCAATTATAACACAATACATTCACATACACTACATTATGAAATGCCAGTTACCAGTAGTAAAAGTTTATAAGGAAGCCTAACAAAGTTGAGTCAGGTCCTCTGGACGGGTTCTACTTTGTTGAAACATTTTGTCTCTCTTACCTTCGCATGCATAGTGGATCAACCAGTTTGCTGATGAAACCAAAAACTTGTTCAATTGCTAAAGAAACTATCCTCCATCCTGAGCTAGCACGGTGGTGACAGTGGAAAGGAATGACTCTTAACAGGAAGAAACCTTCACCAGAATCTCAGAGAGGGCAACCAAATGTGGGTTGAGACAACGAGAGAGATAAATGGCAAGTTCTCCAGGTTTAGTTTTTATGGAACAATAAACACAGGGTTAATGTTGGCAGTAATCGCAAATACAATTATGGAGAGTAGTAATGATGGGAGCTGAGCGAGGAAATGTGGTCATTTTGTTCTCTAGCAGTCTAAGCCTATATCAGCAGAACTACGATACCTGAGGAGGCCCAAGCCAACCCTAATTTTAACAGATTTATCAAAAAGGACCGTCTTAAGCGTAGTCTTAAAAGTAGAAGTAGAGGCGTGTTGGCCTCAGAAACTGAGAGTTGGTTCCACAAGAAATGTTAACTGAAAGCTCTGCCTCCTGTTCTATTAAAAAATTTAAACGTGTCACAAGTAAACCTGCAGTCTTAAAGCTAAGTGCTCAGTTGGGAAAATATTGAACAGTAGTCAGTCAAAGATTGTCATTCGCACGTCATGGTACATGTGGTGGAACGAAATTATGTACACAGGGTCCCAGTTACATCAAACAATAAAATGTAAAAGAAAAACAATGATAACATCTAAGATATGAACTAAGAAAAACATCAACTAAATATACACTAAGCACTAATAGCATAAAAACATTACGTCGAACATCAGCACAAACATGAACATGAGTCTGTGTGAGCAGATGAGCACGCATGAACACATCAACATTGAAACAGATCAGCAGCAATATGAAACAGATCAGCAGCAATATGAAACAGATCAGCAGCAACATGATGTGATTTTTCACAGTGATTATTCTGGTTAGATATTCATGAGTAACAGCTTCATGGTAGAAGCTGTTCCTCAGTCTAGTGGTTCTACACTTAATGCTCCTCAACCTCCTGCCTGAGGGGAGCGGGGCAAAAAGTATGTGTGCTGGGTGAGTGGGGTCCTTCATGATGCAGGTGGCCCTCTTCCTGCATCTGGAGGTGTAAATGTCTGTGTTGGTGGGGAGGCTGATTCCAACAGATTTCTGTACAGCCTTCACCACTCTCTGCAAAGCGTTTCTTTCTGCAGCTGTGCAGCCTCCATGCCACACATTGATGCTGGAGCACAGGATGCTCTCCACTGCGCACCTGTAGAAGGAGGTGAGGACTGAGCTTCCCAGACCAGCTTGCCTCAACTGCCTGAGGAAGTAGTCTCTGATGAGCTTTCTTCATCAGGCTGGTGGTGTTGTTGCTCCAGCTGAGGTTGTCGTTCATGTGTACACCCAAGTACTTGTAGCTAGAGACCACTTCCACCGCAGATCCTCTTTATGTTCAGGGGGGTGTAGGTGTGTTTGTTCCTTCTGAAGTCCACAATCATCTCCTTTGTCATCTTCACATTGGTTATTCTCTTTGCACCAGCTCTCCAGCTGTTCCACCTCCTGCCTGTAGCTGGACTCCGTAGGATTTTTAATATAAGATGAAATTTAGTTATTCTTGGTGCAACCGCAAAATTATAGATCAGACCCCAATCCAAAGGGTGATGGATTTCACAGAAAAGGCCCGCTTGGCACAATGTCACGTTCAAGACCTTACAACAAAAAAGTTTACTGGCAACTCGTCATGCCCATTTAAATGCTAACAACAACACACTCAGTGGCAGACAACACACTGGAATACATTCACACGCCAGGGAGACCGATGAGGCAGTGGAGGAGCAACTGTAATTTTTCAATACTAATTTTATAATTAACGTCAATTCTAACGAGAAGAAAATTATGTTACACATTATAGTAAAAACCTTGAGTTTTATTTTTTAACTTTGATATTTTTCCATTCCAAGCAGTTTTTTTTACATAAAAATAATTTCCAGCGCAAAAGAACGGTAGCAAACCAGTGACACATCAGTGTCTAATGCTCACTGCTACATACTGAGGACCTTTTCACTTGAGGCTCCCACAGACTCTAGCGTACTTCAGTCCGCAGAGGTCTACACGTACATGATTAGACTCGACCGCGTATATGTGTGTTGCACAATAAACTGCTCGGCGACGGACTGTTTTGTATACAACACCATCATATTAAATGCCTTTTCTTCATCCCTGATCTGGTTTAATGGCCTTTTTGTTTTGGGTTTTTTTGCCAAGAGGCAAGTGATCTCTTCCTCCCGTCCATTGACGCCATGACTGAAATTGTGAGAAATGAAGGAATTTGTCACGAGAGAATTAAAATCAGGCCCAGCATGGCTGCGGGAGGGTCTGGAGATTTCCCAGTGGGCTGGTGTACGCTCGAGTATGAAGTCTCAACCGTCTGCGGACAGTGCACGCAGTTTCCATGTGGCTCACAGTCCGCACAAGCCTGTGGGAGCCTTTAGCAGTTTTTTTCTTTTCCAAATAAATCAACATGTCTGCTTTCTCTTGACACAAATAAGCCCGCTCCTGGCTGATGGTGTCTCCAGCGTTGGAAAATGTTCGCTCTTAGGGTGTGGATGATGCTTGCACACACAGATACCTGGTTGCCAAGTTTGACAGCATTGGCAGTGTCCCTCACATCCCACCACCAGGTCACTGGATTCACTGAGGTTAGGGTTGATGGCAGACACATCTATGTCTCTTCCCGAATCTTCTCTGGGGTTTAGGGCTCTTGTCATCTCCCTAATTAACATGAGAACACAAAACATCAACGATAACATGGTTGTGTTATTATTGCTCAAAAACCATTATCTAGGCTGAGAGATAAAAGCTTAACTGGTCAACAAAATCCTTTACAGCTTACTTACCTCCACCATGGAGCCTCCACTGTAGAAAAAAGCAGCAAACTTTTAACAACACAGTTTGTGATTGTCCTGTGCCCCCCCATCTCTCTTTTCTTTTGTCATTTTTCCTTTTTCTGCCAGTGTGAATGGATTTACACTGACTGGCCTTGTCCTCCTCACATCAGGGTCAGAGGCTCCTGTGAGGAGAACATGAACATAAACAGTGATCATTAGGTGAACTGTTTAACCAGCTGACTCGATGGATGAGCACATTTTTTACAAGCTAAGCTTTATCTATTGCTGTCAGTCTTTAGTTAGCTTTTGATTTAGCTAGCTACATAGAGAGCCATAAAATAAAGTTACACACTGATATTTTAAAGTTAGCGTTACAGGGATCCTAGTTTAACTAACCGTGCGATGCGGTAATGTTAACAAATATAAACTCACCAGTTGAAATCCAGAACACAGCTCCATCCTTGGTGCGAAGCGGAATCCGGTTGTGGAGATATTGAATCGGGTTGCTCAGGCTCTGTAACACTCACAGGCTGACTTAAATATTCAGAGGAGGATGGCTGTGGTCCTCTTTCCTTGCAGTCAAACACGGAGCAACTTTCCGCTCTTAACTTGATTCTGTGCACGGTCAGGCGCTTCATCAAATTAGTCTTCACAACACATATATGATGGCAAGCCATAATATCCATTAATAGCCAAAAATGGTATTTTTTTGTGGCTATCAATGGATATTATGGCTTGCCATAACTACACGAACCCTGTCTGTGGGTGTAACCATGTATGTGTTTTTCCTGGTGGCTGCAAGTAGCAGCACTGGCATTGGCTGTAACATTACACTTGGTTTAAACCACGTGTAATGTTCCAGCCAATCACCGAAACTTGACCCCGAAAGACGAGGCATATTTTGATACTTACACCAACCGAAGCCTTTCGGTCAGTACCATAAAAGAACTGAAGTTCGGTACTCTTCCCTACATATAAGGGCAGTATTATAGGCAGAAACATGGTTGTGCTACGGGGACCCAAGTTTCTCCTACTGTTGCCAACCTGTACATGGAGGAGGTAGAAAAGAAGCCATGGCATTAGGGCTAGTTTCATACGTTGTATAAAATGAGACCATCGATATAAAACAATATAGTCTCATACTCTACGTAGTTATAATTATACTTAAAAATCTGCCAGTTTTTCTCCCAGTCTGCTCCATCACACAGCCCCTCACACAGCCCCTCCTCCTCTCCCCCAATGAATATAAACCCAGCCCCTCACCTGCTCCCCCCACCTCCTGCTGTGTAAAACTGCATGCTGCTGCAGCTCCCACTTTGAACAAGCTAGATGCATATGCAGATATCAATCGTCACAATAGGTCTTTGTTGACTCATAGAGGAGACACTCTAGATGTAAATTCCTGATAGGTGTGAAAATGACTGGGTGGCTGCTACAAAGGTGAGGTTTGGTGTTCTCCAGGAAATTAACTGGTTTAGAGCGGCAACTTATGCAGTTGTGTTCTCATTAAAAAAACACAGACAACCAGTTTAGGGTGATTTTATTTGCTGCGTTTTTTCTGGTATTTACACACGGCAGTAACCAGTACACACAGCTGTAACCAGTAAAGCTCAAACGGCAAGGCTCAGTCGGTGTCGGGAGAGAAAATTCTCCATTGCACGGCACTTTACCAGTGTTGCCAGAATAGCTATGTTTACATGCACAAAATTCTTTGACCGGATTGAAATATTTTCAGATAAAATAATTTGAATGTATCGTTTACATGGACACAGTCCGTCCACGACATGCAGCGGGTTTTTATTCAGAATAGAAGTACTGACATGCGCAGAGTCGTAAACTCTCCTTAAAAAACACAGAAGAAGAAGTTTTGCTTCTGTGATGAACGTAAGCAAGTCTGAGTGCCCAAAATGGACCCGCGACAGGTTTTACTGACGGTGGAGACGTTACTGCACTCCCTGACTGAGCTACAGGTGATGCAGATCATTTTGAGCTCTTTCAAAGTTTCTAGTAGAAATGTTGTCGCTCACAGACAAGTTTTGCTTCCCCGACATGCTAATATTATTAGCATCTAGCCAGGCAGAAATGCATAAGGTTGACATAGGTCACACATGCGCAGTCAGGTCAGTTTTCCACAATCACAAAAAAATGAACAGATTAAGTGTTTACATGCGCAACGTTCGGATTATGAATCTGCATAAACCACCAGTCTCATTCTGATTACAAATTCTTTTGGATCGAGCTGAATCAGCAGAATAATCAGAATGGGGCGTTTACATGACGCAATTTTATTCCAAATGGCCATTTAATCTGATTACTTATGTCCATGTAAATTGCTTTGGGCAGGTGGGAATAATTTGTGCAAATTTGAAGTCAGATCGGTGTTTTTTGAGTTACCTTATTAAAACACATTTCAACCAGTTATTCATCATTGATTCATAGGAAAGCTCCCCTACTCTGAAGCCAACCTCACTCAAAGGAAGGAGGAGCAGGAAGTTAAAAAAAAAAAACGGTAGAGCCTTGCACCTCCTGTTTCTCTTTCTCTCTCTGACAACAGAGGGCGGCGGCATAAATTATGCTAGTTGTAGCAGGACGATGCCAAAATGGGGAAAATAAAAGTTACAGAAAAGAGTGGGGAAAGCGACAAGGGTTTCAATCATGGATAGTACCATCTAAAAATTACGAAAGCAAGGCTCACTGCAAATTTTTCAGTTCCAGCCAACAATCTAATGAGCGTTAAATGTATGAATTCAAAATCGACCATAGTAAATTTAATTATTTCAGTTATGTAGAAATAAGCTTAGCAAATTTGTGTGTGCGCACTGATCATAGTTTTTGTCTTCTAAATGTGAAAAGAGGAGCAGTTTTCATGGTTGTTATGAATCCATCTGCAAACATGTTGGTATGTGATGTGTGGTGGCTGGTCAGAGTAGTTTACGGAGAACAACTTTGGGCAGAGTTTGTTGGATTATTGCGTTTTGCCACATACAGTAGTGTTAAATTACCTTGGCTTGTACTGTGCGTTCATGTTCAAATAGTAAATGTAACGATATATTGATTGGGCAGGTTTTTGTGTGATGTGGTGTTTTTTATTTATTTTTTACAGATTTTTGGGCTGGAATACCTCAACTCTTATCTGGCAACACTGCACTTTACACAGAGCGTTGCGTCCAGTAGCATCGAAACAGCCACTGTGCATTCAAGAGCGTAGAAACCATGAAATTCAGAAGGAAACAAACCATAACCAAACAGAACCGAGCTCAGTAAACAAGCCAACTACACAACAATGTGGGCTTTCTAACAGCTTTGTTAATAAAGGTTAATAAAGGTTGAATGAATATACTTCATTAGAATCAGGCTCTTTAAAGAGCAAGTCAACCTTTCATTATGTTGGCTCTGTATGTTTCTGTTTAAATTTTTAGTTCACAGCTGTGTTTTTTTGGTTTTGTTACACAAGAAAAAACAGTTGCAGCTATTCGTTAATAAAGGTGCCTGTGTCACACACAATTGGGACTAAGCTTTGACTCGGAAATATATTTTTGTTATTACTTTTTGGAAAGAGAAAACATATATGTATATCGCCATTCATCTTAAATATTGAGACATTAATTTTTGTCCATATCGCCCAGCCCTACTTGGTGTCCTTTTCAGAGACACCACTGAGTCATTGGTTCAGGTATGTTGATGACACCTAGGTTAAAATTAAAATCTCAGGAAGTCCAACATTTCACCGATTACATCAACTCCGAGGATAAATATCTAAAGTTCAGATGAGAAGATGTAAAATATGACAGGTTGGCTTTCTTGGACTGTGAGGTCTCACTTTCTGATGGAGGACATTTGGAAACTAACCCCCCCCCCCCCCCACACACACACACACACACACACAGACACCAGTACTTGCGTTCATGTAGGTGATTTGCAGCTTTGACTTGTTTTCCCTTTCTGTGGGTGGGATGGTCAATGTAAAGTGGGCGATGGTTTCATAACCGGTCATTGTATTTGAGCTACTCCGCCCGTTGAAGTCCTTAATTGCCCTATATTTATTTAGCTTATCCCAGCACAGCTTATAAGTCCGAGTGTAGCCATGCTGCACCATTATCTTCAATATCTTTCTGTACATGCAGAAAATGGACGTAGTTCTGCTGGTCAGTCAACAGCTGCTGTCTGCTTACATCAAAAACGTCGCCTTGTGGCAGTTCACTTGGATTCACGAACAAGGTGGTCCTATAATCAGGGCTGAGTGGGGGTGGGTATCGACAGTGGCCATGCCCTTAACTGGTGCGGTGTGGGGCAGAACCAATTGGTAGTGGCAAAGCGCCATATGCGAAGGAGCTGTTTATAAGACCGAGTTTGCTTGTAGTTTCTTAGACTTAAGAAGAAGTCTTCTGGGCTAAAAGCAAAATGTTTCAACAAAGAACTCGTCCAGAGGACCTGACTCAACTTGTTAGATTTAAACTATTCAGGGAGCCAGTGGAGAGAAGCTAAAACTAGAGAAATATGATCTCCTTTTAAGTGTCACCAGAACTCTGGCATCAACACATTTTGTCACCTTGTGGCTGATCTGTGTCAGAAAATTATGTCTTTTAACACTTTCAGATTCCTGAAACTCCAACCATGTGGAAAGAACGGCTACAGTCCTCTCCACCTGGCAGTAGACCGCAACACCACCTGTGTGGGCCGCTACCCCGTCTGCAAGTTCCCCTCGCTCACGGTGGCATCAGTTCTTCTCGAGTGTGGGGCAGACGTCGACAGCAGAGATGAAGATGACAATAGGTTTGTTTTTCACTCTTAACTTTTCTTTTAAAGCTACCGTAATTATACATTTTTGACCGTTTATTCATTTGTTCCCATCAGTCCTCTCCACATAGCTGCATCCAACGGTCACCCCGACATTATGAACCTGCTGATCTCCTTCGGGACTCACTTTGACAGCACCAACGCCTTCCAACAAACTGCCTGCGACCTCCTGGACGAGAAGGAGCTGGCCAGGAATGTCATCCAGCCCATTAACCACACCACGCTGCAGTGCCTCGCTGCCAGGGTCATCATCAAGCACAGCCTCGACTACCGGGGACACATTCCCGAGAAGCTAGAAGCCTTCGTTTTGCTCCACAGATAATGATTGTAAATCGGACGGACGAAACGAGGCACAGGGGTGTGACTCCACCGAGTTGACGGAACAGTGTTGAGGAGCTTTAACTAACATTCAGTGCTTGACCCACGAGAAGTTTAAGAAGCGCAGAGACCGTTAATGTGGATTGGTTTTTGAACATCGTGACCATTTGGAGAAAATAAACTTGGAAAAAAAAATGCGTGCACAAAGGTATCCTTATTTAACCAAGATGAACTGAAAACAGATGACTGGAGGAACGAGTGACCTTCTGTGACAGGGCCACAGCTCTGACTGATCATAGCCTGATCTATGGGGATGTATTGGAAACATGGTGCAACATGGCAAACTGTTGAATCTCTGGATGAACTGAAGGATTCACATGATTTTGCTTGAGGGGAAATGATCTATTTTTTTCATATTCCACTATGCTATTTATTGAATGAAACTTGAGAGATTTTTCTCCATGCTGGCTCTAACCCAGTCTCAGCATTGCCTGCTTTTCTCCTGTCTGAGCCGCCTCCAGGTATTTCTGCAAATGCTGGGACTTCAGGTTATTATAGTTTTTTTAATTATTTTTAGTTGTCCCCTCACAGTTGCCAACAACTTTGAACTCCTCCTTAGTCATCATTAGGTTTATGTTATTGTATTTTTACAACATGTGTAGGTTATGTTCTGTTTTTGGTCATACATGTCTGAATATCTGCCAAGTGGAGTAGATTCTCGACTCGTTTCCCACTTCATTATGTAACAAAGCTTTACAAGACAGAGGTTAATGTGTGCAAACACCATAAGTGCTTTATTCTTCCTATGCACAGGCTGAGCTGTTGGAAAGAGACTGTTGCATTCTGTGCCGGCACTTGTCTGTGCAATATCTCATGAGTTTGCGTTGTCATTTGTGTTTACCTCATCGCTGCCGCTTCCTCTGGTACCCACCTGCTCCGTAGGTAGAGGTGGGTGCAGACCAGTACACTGATGTTGGAAGAAGAGCGAATGAATTTCAAATGACTGGTTGCGTGAGTGAACAAGTGTGTTGTATTTTTTTATTTTTTTTTATGAGCTTACACAAATTGAGGACAGGAGTTTAGTGTCGTGGTGCTCATGATGATTCCATACTGCACATGACTGCCACTATAAAAAGCACAGCGGCCAAACTGTCCACAGCTTCTTGAAGAGCTTGTGCACAAACGTGACCTCCTATTGTTCATAAATGGCTGAGCTTTTGAACGGTCTTTAAAAATCCCAATTGGAAATAAATTGTCTTGGTGACTTGCCAACGTTTGCCCGCTGTGCATGCGCAGCAGCAACTAATCGCTGCAGCGGACCTTTTCACAACTAGACTCCACAAACAACGGCTGGAAAAGCTCTGTTCATCTTGCACAACTCTACAAGAGTTGGAGGAGAGAGGGCTCGAGAATAGTAAAGCTTTGTGTTTATCATGTTTGCACAATTAGCTTTAGGCGTGTGGGTTGAACAAAAGGGCTTTTCATCATTTGTAGGGTTTTGTTTTGCAGTTCAAAACCAGGCAGAAATTGTACAGGACATCCAGGGCAACTTGATTTGAACCTGCACTTTACTACAGCGGAGATTAGGATTTGATATGGCATTAATCAAGTTCATGTCTTAATTACCAGTTTCACAATAAAACCATGTTGCACATGCCTCCTTGACCAAATGTCTTTATTGGCAGTTTTTACGTTTATGATGTGGGTATTTTAGTAAATGTTAAGGCTGCTCTGCTTGTGGTGGTAATGTGTTTTTATTTAGCAAATTTTAATTTGTTTTATTTGCATTTGTCTGTGTCAGGTGGTCTCACCTAACTTGAACTGCCTTCATCAATAGAAATATATATTTCCTTATACTCAGACATGAACTTCTGCCAAACGGCACAACTATATGAATTTAAATAAAATTAGTCCATATTCATGTTTGGAGCCTATTTAAAATGAAGAGGATGATAATTATCTTTACTAGCAGCTTCACTTGATTTATAGAGACAGTTGACCACACAAGGCTAAAATTAAAAGTATTCAATTCAGTTTTTTATTATCAATTAAAACTAAGCAATTAATTGAATCTTGACTGGATCACCTGATACCATTTGTCTCCAGTGTTTTCCAGTCAAAAGTTGTCCCGAAGAACTTGTTCGAAGTTAACTTGCTGATATAATTCCTAGCGATAACTTCATTATAAAAAAAAGGCAATATTTGGGTTTTATAGAAGCCAATTTAACCTAACTTGTGCAACTAAACACTTTGTTTTACTTGCTGTAATTTCTGGACTATTGAGCGCACCTGAATATAAGCCACGCCCACTAAGTTTAAAAAGAAGATTAAAATTTTACATACATAGGCTGCACTTGTTTATAAGCTGTGGGTGTTCATGTTGTAACATGAGATATTTACACTTTTTTTATTTTTACTTTTAATTAAACATGTACCAGTATCACACACAAATACAGTAAATGTTTTTTTTCTGAACAGTACCTGTAACACGGCAGATTAAAAAAAAAAATATACAGTAGTCTACCAGGAAGTCATTGATCGCTACCCCCCCCAAGAGAGACGTGTACTGGGCAGCTATGTGAGCGCCTGGGTGTGACGAAGCTAAATAGTTTGGTGGCATGAAACTCGTCGGTCCACAAAAAAAAAAAAAAGCCGCAGCATTGTATAAGCCAAGTTAAAAGCGTGTGAAAAAGTTGTGGCTTATAGTCCAGAAATTACAGCAATTATCACCAATTCAGCAACAGGTTGACACTTGTACCAAAACCTTTTGGCATCTCTGAAAGAAATTTGTTCCAAATATCTTGTATTATATTAATTTATTACCAAATAGCAATTTATGATGATTCCCATTCTTGGCTTTCAGCTAGTCCTCAGGTTCTTTTTTAAAAGTATCACAATGACCTTAACGGCAAATGTATGGCTGGATTGTGTTTTATTTTTCTTCTCACTTGGTTGTTGGCATTTCAGCTCTCACCACCTGCTTCCTCCACATGTACGGCAGCAGCAGTCAGCCCCAGCATGTCACACCTCTCAGTGTTTGGTGGTGACTCACCGCCGACATCTAACAAAGCACAGAGTGGGAATTTCTTAATGAGTCACGAACACCGTGTGAAGCAAACTGCTGAGGCAGGACAACAGCAGTTGGGTTAACAGTCCGTTCCTTTTGTTTGTTTCATATTTCTCTCCAGCGTAAGCTACTTAGAAACAAGATGTTTTGCATGTGGACCAAGAGCTTGGCTGACATGGAGAAAAGGGAACAAACAGGATGTTTTGTTTGTGTGTTAAAGTCCAAGTCTTTTACTGGCAGAGCCACTTCAATAAACTTTATGCCAAACACACCCTTGAATTAAAATCCCGAAGTGAAATGAATCAGAATTGATCAAAATAAAAATACTTTTGTCAGTTCTTCATTTGAGCTCAAGTAAAACCTGAGCTGATCCCTTCTACCAGAAGTGATCTGTGATCTGTGCACGTTCAGATGGCTCTGCCCCGCTTGAAACACGCTGGCAGTGGCGTCGGCATCGCGTCCGCCTGGATGTTGACACAATCGAGGAGAGATCAGGGGAAGCGGAAGCGCAGCTAAAACAAGCAAGCTGGGTTTTGTACCGAGACTGCGCACAGAAAGGGCAGGATTCTAGAAAATCTGTGAGCTCAGCAGGGAGTGGGCTTAGTGAGTCAGAGGGATGCCCATAAACCTCACAGCTGAAGGGAATCTTCCACCATGAACTGGATTTGGACAAGATGCAGCAGGAAAAAGGAGCTTCTTTTAGTTTTAAGGATGCCTATTTAGATGCAGCTTTGTTAAATGATATCTGTATTTATTAATGTATAAAAAAAACATGTCTGGGACGAGGCACATAAACCTTCACTAACACTCAAGTAAACTATTATTTTTACAGTAAACTTTTTACACCCATATTCTCAGTAATGGCATTATAAATAAATATATTTACTGTACAGACACAGTAGATCCAAAGAGGCCATGTAATAAAGTAAGAATTTAAAACATTTAAACAAAAATGTTTTTTCATTCAACCTTTATTTATAAAGGTTGGTCTCATTGAGCCACGGGGACTCTTTTACAAGAGAGACCTGTTTTAAACAAAGACCACAGATGAGGTACAGACAGCAGAAGACAATCATATAAAAGCATATAAAATGAAAAATGGAAGAAATGATGTAAAAACAAAACAAAAACAGCTGCATTATAAAGCGGTGTAAAATACTAAAAACAGGAAGATATGCATTGGTTTTTGCCATGAACTTAGCAGTTGTTTAAAATCCCTTAGAGAGGTCAAGGTCGAGAGCTTCAGATCTTTCTGCAAGGTGTTCAGATGTGGAGTAGGAGAAGGCCCTTTTGCCAAGTTCAGTCTGCACTGAGGGAACACTGCATGTAATAATGTCCTGAGAGCACACGCTGTAGCTGCACTCACACAGTGATATGTAGATGTATAAGGCAGCAGACTGAGAAGTGATTTGAAGATGAAAATGTACCAGTGGTAGAGTTAGTGATGACCACCATTGAATACAGGGTGCAATGATGAGTACGGTAGTTACAGCCAGTTATGAATCTTAGCGCACCGTGATAGACAGCATCCAACATCTGCAAGGTGCTTGCACGAGTCTTCATGTAAAATAATGTCATCGTAGTCAATGGAGGGAAGGAAAGTTACACTTGCGTGTTTCCTAGCATTCAAACTTAGACTGGATCTGTTCTGAAAAGGAAACCCAGTTTTACTTTCTATTTCTTTACCAAGTTTTCGTGGGACTTAAAGGAGAGATGCAAATTGACCAAAATACCCAAGTATTTGTAAGACTTGACAAACTCAATAGGAACACCATTCGTAGATAAGATAGAAGGAAGAACTGATGGGACCGACTTCCTGTTTGAAACGAACATCCCTTTGGTTTTATCAGCACTGAGCACAAGTTTGAGACAGAACAAATCTGACTGGATGATGATGAATGCAGACTGTAAAAGCTGAAAAACTTGGCAACTGTTCTAGCTTGACAATAAACAACTGTGTCGTCGGCATAAAAATGTAAGGATCAGGAATGAGCTGACCTACATTACTTATGTAAATTGTGAAGAGGATGGGTCCTAAGACTGAACCTTGTGGTACACCATTGTTGACAGCTAGATAGCTGGAAGAAGTACAATTACGTTTAACACAGTCTTAGTATCATTTACAACTAAAACGTCCCTTATTTTTCTAGAGAAACTAAAACTGATTTGTTAAAAGTAAAACAAGCAGAACAGATGCTAAAATAATCGGAAGCTGAAGAGCACACAAGCTTAAAGCAACAGAGCAGTAGCTAAAGATTACACCACAATAACCTACACTGTGTTGGTCAGTCCTGCTCCTCGAGGGACACACTATCCTGCATGTTTAAAATGTTTCTCTGCTTTGACACACCTGATTGGAATAAATGAGTGATTGACAAGGCTCTGCAGAGTTTGCAGACTTGCTGAAGAGCAGGGAAGCAACTAAAATATGCAAGATAGTGGCCGTCGAGGACCAGGATTGGACACCACTGTAGATTCTCAGTCATTCAGGATTTAGCAACTCCTAAGAGTTAAAAAAAGAAAGATTTCTGCTGTGGAGCTGAAGACGTTTCTCTTCCTACTAGA